CAAGTGCCCATGAAATAATAATCAAAGTGGGCACTCTTCTGGATATCAAACAGATCTCAATACATTTCCAAAGGTCTTAAATAAAACGAATTATGTCTTTAGGACAAATACAGATGCCAATAAAAGAAAGATATCTTGAAAACTCTGAAATATTTGGAAATTAAGCATCACGCCTCTAAATAATCAATGACTCAGAAATAAATTAAAGAATATATTAAACTGAATGAAAATTGAAACATAACATATTAAAATATGTCTATATTTTGAAAGGTGCCACTAAAGTAGTCTCTGGAAGTAAATTTATAACATGAGATGCTTACATTAGTCAAGAAGAAAGATCATAAATCAATGATATAAACTTTTACTGCAATAAACTTGGAACACAAGAGAAAATTATATATCAAAGAAGCCAAAGGAAAGAATGTATATTTCATACAAATTGTTAAAAGTATTGATAAAAATTATTTACATCGTTGCCATATTAATATTTTAGTGTCTATATGATCTATAGTGGTGACCCTTCTTTTATGTATAATTTTGATTATTTTTTCTTTTCTCTTTTTTCTGAACAATCTTTATGGAATATTATCAACTTTATTGATCCTTTCAGAAAAATCAACTTTTGGTTTCCTCCAAAGTATTACTGTTTTCTTTTTTGTTGGTTTTTTTGTTTGTTTCTGTTGCTGGGGTTTTTTTGCCTTCTCTTTTTATTTTAATTTTTTTTATTTTAAAGATGTGAGGTACAATTCAGGGTTAGGCATACAAATGTTCATTATGCAGGTACCCTTGTTGATAAGGTTATTGTGCAAATGCTTTTAGAAATGTATGAGGAGGAAATACTTCCTAATCCATTTCATGAGGCTAGCAGTATTCCAAGACTACCATCAGACAACAACACTACAAGAAAAAAATGAAACCCATACCAATATTCCTTGAACATAGACCCCAAATTATTAACAAAAGGCTAGCAAATGGGATCCAACAAAATTTAAAGAGAATAATCCCCCATGACCAAGTAGTGTTTATCTGAAGATTGAAAGGTTGGATCAATATTTGAAAGTCAATCAATATGACTCACCATACTGACAGTTTTAAAAATATCTATGATCTTCTTAATAGATGCAAGAAAGGCATTGAAAAAACACATTCTTGATAAAAGCTCTTAGCAACCTGGGAATATGAGGGCACATCCTCAAACCAATAAAGGGCATCTGTAGGTAAAATACCCATTCTCTACTATAAAGAACTGAATGCATTCCACTGAGTATGAAAAATAAGGTAAGGATGTTTGCTTATATCACTTCTAGTCAATATTTTACTGCAATAGGACAAGAAAATGAAATTAAAGTTACACAGATTAAAAAAGGAAGAAGTAAAACTTTATTTGCAGATGACATAATTAACTACATAGGAAATCTTAATGAAGTTACCAAAAGCCGCTAGAACTAATACATTTAACAAGGTTATAGTACAGAAGGGTAAGGTATAAAAATAATTATATAACTACCTATATCATTATATAGATATATATATAGCTATAGGTATAGATATAAATGCAGATATAGGTATAGATATATTTTGAATTGAAGTCTCGCTCTGTCACCCAGGCTGAAGTGCTGGACTCAGGATATCCTTCTACCTCAACCTTCAAAGTAGCTGGAACTACTACAAGAAAAAACTATAAGTGTGCACCACCATGCCTGACTAATTTTTTTAATCTATTGTAGAGACGCGGTCTGGCCAAGTAGTCCAGGACGGTCTCAAACCTCTGGGCTCATGCAGTCCTCTTGCCCCCAACTCCTAAAATGCTGGGATTACAGGTGTGATCCACTGTGCTCAGCTCATATTTTTTTATTCTAGCAACAAACAGTTAGAAATGGAAAAAGAAAGGTGGCATCTACCTTTGCATCAAATATATGAAGCACTAATAAATTTAACAGTATATATGTAAGGGCTGCATACCCAAAACTAAAAAAGATGGCCGGGAAAAATTATAAAAACTTAAACAGATGCAACGTTATGTCATGTTTATACAATGGGAGATACAAAATTCTTAAGATGTGAATTTTTCCAAATTGGTCTATAGATGAAATATAATCCCAATCAAATACTAGTGGACTTTTGGGTAAAGAAATTAACAAGTTGAATTAAAAATTAATATGAAAAACTATAGGATCTAAAATATCCCAAAGGTATTGGAAATGAAAAATGAAGATGGAGAATTTACAATATCTGATGTTTTGTTTTGCTAGGAATCAACAGTAATCAAGACAATACGGCAACAGCATAAGGACATATATATAGATCAATGAAACAGTATAAAGAGTCCAGAAATGCATAAGCATATATATTATTTTGACAAAGGAGCTAGAGAAATTCAACTAATTTTGACAAAGGAACTAAAGAAATTCAATGAGAAAATGGATGATCTTTTCGACAAGTGGTATTCAAAAAATTGGATATTTATAAAAAGTGGACTTTGACCATTACCTCACACCATATACAAAAATTAATATTCAAAATGGAACATGAATTTAAATCCAAGAGCTAAAACTGTAAAACTTTTTGAAAAAAAAAATCACAGGAGAGGAATCTTTGGATTCTGACTTAGGCAAATATATATTTCTTTGTTAGAATATACAAGGTATGAACCATCAAAGAAAGAGATTAAAAAATGAGTGCTTATGAAAATTAGATGAAGGTACTAAGTGAAAAGCCAGGTACATTCTGAGAGAAATATAGTTACAAAACATACATATATTAAATAATTTGTACCCAGAATATATAAGGAACTCTTACAACTAAGAAAACAAACAATGCAAAGTAAAAATGGGTAAAAGAAGGCATATGAATGCCAAATAAATGAATAAAATGATTCTCAACATCATTAGGCATTACAGAAATGCAAAATATATGAATATACACTCAACCAAGTGCTTAAAATTAAAAAGAGTTAAAATCACAAGCATTGGCAAAGATATGAAGTGTTCTTGTGAAGAGAAATGAAAATATATATCTCTAAATTTGCTTTTGACTTCCTGTACACTAATGTCTATATCAAAATTATTCATAAAAGCCCCAACTTGTAAATGACCCAAATGCCTATCGAACGGTAAATAGGTAAAGTCATAGTATATCATACAATAGAATATTATTAAGCAATTTAAAAGAACAAATTGCTGATAAATGCAGCGATGTGGATACATCACAAAAGCATAACACTAGGTCAAGGAAGTCAAAAAAAATAAACAGACAAAAACTCCAATACAATGATAGAGTATGATTCTATTCATGTGAAGTTGCAGAAATGGCAAAATTACAGTGCTAGAAGGCAAAACAGTTTTTGCATGGAGGGATGGAGGGAGTTGACTGCAAAGGGGTGAAAGGGGAATTTACACAGCTGTAATCTTGGTTAAAACCCACTAATTTAATGAGTGACTTCATTTTATGTTATTAATACCTCACAAAAAGCTGCTAAAAAAGCTAAGGTCAAAATCTTTTTTGCCTGAACTTGCTCCTTCTCCTCTAATCCAAGGGTCCCCGAACCCCAGGCCATGGACAGATACTAGTTTGGACCTGTTAGGAACCAAGCCACACAGCAGGAGGTGAGCGGCCAGCAAACAGAGCTTTGTCTGTATATACAACTGCACCCCATTGCTGGCATCACCGCCTGAGCTCCACCTCCCATCAGATCAGCGGCAGCTTTAGATTCTCATAGGAGCACGAACCCTATCGTGAACTGTTCACGTGAGGGATCTAGGTTGCATGCTCTTTATGAGAATCTAATGCCTGATGATCTGAGGTGGAGCTGAGGCGGTGATGCTAGCAATGGGGAGCGGCTGCAAATACAGATGAACATTAACAGCGAGGTTTGACTGCACAGAGACAGTAATAAATCAGTCACTTGCAGACTCATATCAAAACCCGATCAGCGAGTGGCAAGTGAGTGGTGTACTTCAATTGTATAGCTGCATCGGATGGCAGGCTTTAAGTCAGAATCCGACACTTATTCTAGTCCATGCATGGCCTGCCCATTTTTTAATTTTTCACTTCTGTCTGCATCTTTTTTTTAAATGGTGAGTTTTATCATTATTTCATTATATATTACAATGTAATAATAACAGAAATAAAGTGTACAATAAACATTATACACTTGAGTCATTCCAAAACCTTCCTCCCAGCCCTGGTCTGTGGAAAAATTGTCTTTCAGGAAACTGGTCTCTGATGCCAGAAAGGTTGGGGACCCCTGCTCTAATCCTGATAGTAGTAAATGGAGCCTATCATCATCTAATCTGTTGTAAAACAAAATCTGGGAGTCATCCTTAAACCTTCTCTTTTTTTATTCCTCAAATCTATGAGTTCTCCAAACCATATCAGCTTGAGTTCTATATCATGGCCTGTCTCTTATATCCTCATGGAGGCTCATGGACTAGGTCCAGGATTCTGGAATCTCTCATTACTCTTTCTTCAACAACCTTGTAAATTATTACCTTCCCTGCTGATGTTGAATAGATTTCTCTAAACCATGCCACTTTGAAGGAAAAAAAAAAGATTTTTCTGAAGTTAAATGTTGTTAATATGATTCTTCAGAATCCTTTCAACTACTTCCTGAAAACTAAAGCCTCATTATAATTTGGTGGCAATTCCTACAGATTTTTGGAAAATTTCCTGAATTAGCTCCTTATTTCCTTGTACTTTGCAGATATATTTCACTGTGGCTAAGTATAAGGTTATAGCTGTTTCCTGATTTTATTATACAATTTTTGTCCCTCCCTTTTTTGTGGGTATTATGGATTTCACAGCATTCATGTGTATTTACTTCATTATCTTGCCCACAAGTAAAATATAAGATACGGATCCATATCTGCAATTACACTATAGTGACAGTTCTACAATGTTTTGTGATACAATGTTGGATTTCAAAATGCCCAATTATAAAGCTTTTTACCTAAACAAAAATCTGTACAAAAATTTATCAGATGAAGAGGTGGTTTACTCACCTTACAACCAGTGATGATGCTGTGGCCCCAGGTTTTGGGTGCACACTTAGAACATTTCTCCCCAGTGGTATTGGGAGGGCAAATGCATCGGCCAGTCTTAGGATCACAGTTATTACCCAGATGGGAACAGTCACAAGCTTCACAGGTGAAGGAGGAAAGACAAAGGAGGGGAAGAATACAGTCAACATTTGATATGAAGTGTCGAGCTTTATATTGCATTAATTTGCCTAGTTTTCTTTTCTATACTATATTTAAGGATCCTTGAAGTAAAAAACGCACTTCATTCATCTTTTATATCAGAGTACAATGCATTTTAGAGAGGAATTATTCAATAAATATATGATGGATTTCACTCAATGATTTCAAAAGTTAAAGCATTTGTAGCTTTCCTATTAAGTTTAAGGAAGGAAAGAACTGATATTATCAGATTCCATGCTAAATGTAATACCTTCTATCCAGGTACTATAAGGTTTACAATTTTGTTTGTATATGTATTTTAAGGTTATTAATAATTGTTTATTCTGTAAAGTAATTTTTCCTTCTTGTTGATTTCCCTGATTTTCAGTAAAAAAAAAAAAAAAGCTTAATAAGCGCTTAAATTCAGCACACCATATATACAGATGTAAATGGCACATATCAGGATACTCCAGTTTAAAAAATACTTAAAAGAGCTGAATTATAGATGTTGTCTATATATGGGTACTTTTTATTTACCGCCTGATTTTTTTCTGTAGATTTTTCATTTTATTTGCTATTATGCAACATACAAAGAGTGCAAAATTATCCACCTTTTGCACTTTTTCAAAGAATGCAAAAATAAGATTTGAGATCTTCAGAGCCATCCAAGACAAGACATCTAAGTTTTTTTTGTTTTTTGTTTTTGGTTTTTTTAGATTAGAAAATATAGTTTATTTGGAAAGTAAATTAGAAAGAGAGAGAAAGAGGAGATTCACCTCCCCAAGGTGGGGTGAGGGCCAGAGGTAGGAAACATGGCCTGGTGAAGGAAATGTATGTTACATCGTGATGGTTGAGCTAACTACTGTGAATATATTTTACTGCAAAATTTCATATCAAATAAATCAAAGTGAGAAAAGAAACACCAAATACTTCAATTCAAATGGAAGACTAATATTATGAGAAACTTTTAATTGGTTATATAATGATTAAATCATTTTAACAGAATGCATTTAGGATATTTGATTAAGTCACTTTTTATGAGACCACAATTATTGCTCACAGCATTCCATACCAGCTGTGAAAAATGTTTAGCACAATACTTAACATAGAGTAAACACTAAATAAATGTTAGCTGTTGTTTTTGTTATTATTATTGTTGTTGCTAATTTTAAGCCAAAGGATTTATTTTATGTATGCCATTCATTAAGAAGAAAAATAGTTAACATTATGTTCAAATTTATGTACTAAGAACGTCTTGGGACAGTTCATATCATTTACTTGCAAATCATAATTTTCTAAGAAGTTCTTCAGTGGAATTGTTAGCACTAAATAGGAAAAAGACCTAAGTAATTAGCTAGTTTCCTCTGCCAAAGCACAATATGTACCACAATTAATAATGCCAATAAAGATAATAATAACAATGATAAACACTTACATAGCACTTATGTGCCAAACATTACTCTAAATATTTTATAGCCATTAACTCAACTAATTGTTACAAAAACCCCATGAGGTAGATACTATCATTATCTTAATTTAAAAGATAAATTTTGCAGAGGGAAAGCAAGGCCAAATCACTCAGTCGAGGTCGCAAAACTAGTTACTGATGGAACCACTAGAAAAATCCAGGCTGTTTGGTACTCTACCATAATGTTACCCTGCCTCTTTTGTGTTTTTTTTCCTATTCTGTGCCTCTAGGTTAGAATGTTACTAGGTCTGCATTTTTAAAATGCTATCACCGTTCCATAATTTTAAATAATATTCTTAGTCTCATGTATAATTTATGTTGGTAGATATATTGAAATGTATAGCACCATCAAATTAATTCATATTAAGAAAAAATGGTTGTGAGCTGGATTTAAAGAACAGTGTATTTTAAAGTGCAGCTTTATAATTTTTTAGTATCCAGATAGTGGCTTAGAGACATACAGCTTCTTAGAGGTTCTACAATTATAATATTTAGAATTACTTAATTTATGGTAAAAACCATATATCTAAAGTGCTGGAGAATGTCTGAAAGATGTTGGTTCCTTAAATAGTCTTAAATTTTATTCCTACTGCTTCTCACATAAATGTGCTGCAATAGCGAACAATAATGTTTTAAAATCTAACCATGGGCTGAGAAAATAGGCGCATTATCAAGATTGTTGAATTAATGAGTTTAGTAAGCAAAGGTAATATGCAACCTAGTGACTGTCGAAATAAATATCAATTCTAAATTAGTGGCATAAAAATTGAGGCTAATGTTTGATCGTATTTTCATCTGTGGGGTACTAAGTGGCATTTTATTTCACGATTTGTGTGAAGGTTGTGGCTGGATATATGAGAACACTACTCAAGAGAATTGTGGTTAGAAACCTTGCCTGCATTTTCTCATGAACCGAATACCTAGGGCCAACCTGTTTCCCTTTCAGAACCTCACAGTTTTCAAAGCAGCTGAAAGTAGGTGAAAACATATTTTTTGTGCCAGAAAAAAAAAATTAACTTCCTGATTCTTCTACCAATTCTGCAATCGGAAAAAGAAAAGTTGAAATGCATTGGCTTGGAAGCAGAGCTTAAACTAAGATAACATTGGCACTAGGAAAATTGAACGTTTGACTTTCAAGCTGCAGCAGTCACTGAGTGACTGACTGGCTGAATGGAGGTCACAGACTGGGAGGAACACAACCACATTGGCATCTGTTGATTTTTTTCTCGAGTACTGGCAAGCAGAGTTATTTGTAGGGCAGCATTTCAAACTTCAATGCTATTTCATTTGTTAAATAATGCAAAATAAATGTACATTACTTATGAGGCTAAGTATTTTGTATCATAAATTTGTTGTCAATGTGCATTTCCTTTAACAGAACAAACCATCACAGAAGCCAAGACACCAAGCTAGAGGATGAATATGCAGGACTGAAGAGTCTTATTTACAGACCTGTGCAGCCTCCTTCTTGGAAATTGAAATAACCGTGGCCACAGCGGTCACATTTCTTCCCTGTGACTCCAGGCTGGCACCAACATTGCCCACTCTCTTCACAGTCAAAAGATTTAGACCCAAAAGAATTGCAATTGCAGGGAACACAGCCCCTTCCCGATTGCAGGCCAAAGGTTTCAGGCTGGTATAGAAAAGGAAAGAGAAAAATTAAATTCAAATCAAGGAACTCACAGTGAAACAAGATGCACAGTTCCAAGAGTTCAGGTGGGACAAGCATAACCTATGGGTTCCCAGGGTTCTTCACTGATATGATGACAATTGGGTTGTCGTTTTATCAAATGGACTGTTTCTACAATATTCAAAGAGAAAAGTTTAATTATTCTGAAGTTTTATCAAAATTAATGACAGAAAGAAGCACTATCTTTTCTGTCTGTTATATTTCCACCAGCTTTCCTGACACTTCCCAAGGTTTTAATAGCAATGTTGAAATAAAATATGGGTGACCTTTCTAGTTTTAATTTAAGATTTTAGCTGCTCAATTCTTAATAATCTGAGTTGATTGTTTTCAGATCTTATGAATTCCTTCTACTTGGTCAACATGCTTTCAACATTATTGACCAACAGTTTAAAGTTAAAATAATCTTTTTGACCTAATTTTTGTCACATATCCTTAAATAATTTAAATCATCACATTAGTGCTCCTATTATAAATATAATTTGTAGGTTATGCCTACACTGACCAAATAATTGGCCTGATAGATATCTAGTTTCTTGAGTTTCATTCTAGCAATCAAAACTGATTTGAGAGAACACATATTAAAGCACCAGATTAGGTAAGTAAAAGGAAACGTTCATTCTCTGAGTTATTTACATGCATATCCATTATCCATTTATAACAAATCATCTTCTATCATCAAATTTGCATTATTAGCTTTGGCAGACTTTCTTGAAATGCATGTTATCAGGCCTAGACTGACTATATTAGAAAATGCTGATAGAGTTAAAAAAAAAAACACTCCTAGTAAAAAAATGAAAAGCTCTATCCTACGTAAAGTACTTCAGTATTGTTTTTTAAATATAAAGTGTGTCACATTATTATGATATTTTAATCTGGAAAATTAGCCTCAGTAATTGCTTCTTTGTAAAAATAATTCTTATTTTGGAAAATTAGTCTTAATAATTGCTTCTTGGTAAAAATAAATCTTGCTACTTAATGCGAGCCACCCAAAGAGAAATGAATAAGCCTCATTATATATTTTAGCTATTACTGTTAGCAGTCTTAAAAAAAAGTTCTAGAAAATAAAATCACACTGAAAATTAGACTTTTAAAATGACGGTGGCTAAGAGGAGTTTTATTTTTTAAATGTAAAATGGGTTGATTGAGTTTGAAAATCATTTTAATCTTTATATTTACTGCTTAATTTATTTTATTCTAGTTATAATTCAGATTTCATTTTACGATTAAAGAAGACAGTGGATAGCAGTTCCAACAAATGACATGATTTTGAAATTAAATTCGTCTATATAAATAAAAACTAAAACATAAAGTATTTTTACCCATAAAAGGAAATTTACTATAGAATTCTAGAGACTTGGCCTAGATAAATCATCATAAATTGAGACAATGGTTAAAGCAAATGTATTCCCATTACAATATTATTTATCACAGTAACTAGAGAGTTAGAGACATATTCAGTTAGAGAGTTTAATAAATTAAATTATAATATATTCATGCTATGAAATGATATGCAATAATTGAAATACTGTTTTGAAGCAGCTTTTTCTTTTCATTTTTTAGTTTTTTTATTTTATTGGTGTTTGACTTTTAAAGATACGGGGTACAATTTAGATTTAGGTATACAAGTGATCATCATACAGGTAGAGTTTGGGCCTCCTTTTTTTCCCCACTTCACCTGGTTTGAGATCAGGTACGCTTATTGATGTTATGTGCCTCTCCCCCACCCCAGTGGTGTCCCACTACTGCCAATCCCTTTCTCATTGTATTATGGTAAATGTTCAGGGTCCGCTTATGAGTGAGAACATGTGGTACGCAGTTCTTTGTTTGAAGCAGTTTTTATGATATAAATATGCTTAGGATATAGCATTAAATTAATGTTTTAAAAAGTAGAATACAAAAATTACATAAGCACTATGGTTCCAATGAAATATCTATAATGACGTCCATACCACCCAGAAGCCCACAAGTAGAAACATAAATATACAGAAAAAAGACTAGAACATAATATATACAAATATATACAAAGTATAATATATACAAAGTATAATATATACAAAGTAGTACTTTGTATTCATCTTTATTTCTGAAATTTTCTTCACCCTGTCTAGCTATATATCTAGCTATGTACCTGTCTATCCATACAAAAACACACACCCCTTAATGGGTAAATAAACCAAATATCGACGAAATCCTAAATAATAGTTATTATATCTTAAAACTCCAAAGTTATTGGCAGTAGTGGGAATCTGCTGGGGGGTGAGGGGAACACACTTCATCAACAAGAGTACCTGCATAATGAACTTTTGTATACCTAACCCTGAATTGTACCCCACACTTTTAAAATAAAAAATGAAAAAAAAACTCCAAAGTTGATTATATAAGGAAATAGATAAGAATAAATGCCTCTGTCACATTTTTCAAACATGTACATAATGTAGTTTCGAAGGTTAAATTACAGCAAAGTAAGTTTCTACCAAATTTCAGTAACAAAATGTTAATAAATTTAATGCTCAAAAATTTATTTCAAAGGCTAAGGAAAACTCCACTAGTAAATAACCTTATGAAACAAACATTCCTAGTCAGTAAATGAGATTACTGAGGTAAATAAATAAAGGAGAGAGTGCTTTTCCTGCCCAGTGAGAAGTTGGATGGGCTCCCACAAATTCTTCTCTTTCGTGGTAATAATAAAAACTAGCACTTACATATTGTGCTTTCTTTGTGCCAAGCACAGTTTTAAGACCTTTTACAAGTATAAATTAATTTACTCTTCAGGACAGTCCTGGCAGACAGTTGTTATTCTCATCTCTTTTTTAGAGAATCAAGAAACTGAGGCACAGAAAGTTTACGTAGGTTGCCTCACAACCAGCCAATTGTGGGGTCAAGATTCCAAATTAGCTCTTCTGGCTTCAGAGTCTGAGTTCTTAACTCTCTCACGTATGACCTCAGTTTTTGTCTCAGGACGAAACACTGCTTCATACAACAGGACTGTAAGATATGTAGGAAATGGCATGGGTGAGTGACGATTTTCTGCTAAATCTATATTTTAGAGATTGCTTGATTGGTTACCATTTCTTTCTCGTATCTAAAATTTTTTTCCATTTGTTTTGAAACACATAATTTACTTTAAAGATATCTTTATCAACCACGATAGCAAACATGATAGTACTAATACCTAACATCTGCTAACAACTCTCCATATTCATGGCTAATGCATTGGTCTCACTGCTATCTGAGACAACTTGGAGGTGCCTTATCAGATTTACCTGCAAGAGAACCTGCAGTGCTGACTGCTGATGTCTGACAACCTCCAGCTTCCAGTCTGTTGGAACCACCAGAGGGGCTTTGCCATGGACTGGATGTTTCTGTCTCCCTCAAATTCTTATGCTGAAATTCTAACCCCCAAGGTGATAGTGGAGAAAGGAGGTGGACCTTTGAAAGGTGATTAGTCTGAAAGACTGGAGCCTTCATGAGTGGAGTTAGTGCCCTTGTAAAAGACTCCCAAGAGATGTCACTCTTCCATGGTAAGTTCCTGTGGGAAGATGGTGGTACAAAAAAGCAGGCCTTTGCCGGACAGAGAATCTGCCAGCACTTGGATCTTGGACTTCCCAGTCTCTAGAACTGTGAGAAATACATTTCTTTTGTTTATAAGCCACCCAGTCAATGATATTCTCTTATAGCAAGGAGTATGAACAGGCTTAAGGGGAGCTCACACAAGGCCTTGCTTCTCCTAGTCAATAGCTGATTACAGTAAGCTACCAGAACCTTCTTGCCCAATTCAGGATGTCTCTAATGGGCAAAATTTGGGTACTTCCCATTGGTTGGCCAAGAATTTGGAATTTTGGCAAAATGCACCAAACGAAGCTTTTCCTACTCAATCTCGCCTTCTCTCTCCTTTTTCCCAGGAGTCTGAACCTCATCGCAGTGGAAGGCTATGCTCTCTCCCTCTTCATCCTTTATTGGCCTTTTGCCCAGAAAATCTCTTGGCATTTGTTTCTGGGAGGATCCCAGCAGACACAGACCCTCTCAGGTGGTTCCCACTATAGATAAAGAAGCTGAATTACAGAAAGATTCAGAAATTTAAAGCTAGGACGAGGTGAGGCTGGGATTTGATCTAAGGCAGTCTGATAACAGAACTCATTTTCTTATCATGTGCAATAATGCGCCAAGAAATAAGATCATGATTTTTTTTTTCCATTTCTTCTCCTTTACTTGTAATTTCACTCACTTCTTCTTCTATGTCTAACCCTCAACTCCCAATTGACTTTGTATCTACACTGGCAAGTCTTGTCTCTTGCTATTTTGCAAGTCAGTCTGGCATCTCTTATTCCCTCCCCACTTTCATTGTTCCCAAGCATTTGTTTTGTTTTGTCTTGTAATAGACGGGACCATAGTTTTGCAATCAAAAACATTTTCCCACCCTATGTGTATGTTGCCCATTTATAATGTGAGAAAATGTGGGTTCTTGTGTTTGTTGTTCACATTAGCACAACTGACATGGAAATTAACAGAGATGTGGGCTGGATTTATTTGGGCAAGTCACTTTCTTTGCTAGATTTCCCTTTTTCATTCATAAAAGTGAGTTTTTCTCCAAATGATGCCTCAGGTCATTTCCATTTCTAAGATTATAGGTGCTCACAAATAGATTTTTAATTGATTTCTCCATATCCATGTTTAATTGAAACTCTATAAACCTATGACTTTGAATATACTTTTTTGGAGTGTTTTTTTTTTGAGTCGGAGTCTCACTCTGTCACCCAGGCTGGAGTATAGTGGCATGCTCATGGCCACCGCAGCCTCCAGCTGCTGGGCTCAGGGAATCCTTCCGTCTCAGCCTTCCAAGGAGTTAGAACCACAGGCATGTGTCACCATGCCCGGCTAATTTTTTTTATTTATTGTAGAGACGAGGTCTCTCCATGTTGCTCAGGCTAGTCTTGAACTCCTGAGCTCAGGCAATCCTCTCGCCTCCGCCTCCCAAAGTCCTGGGATTACAGGCTTGAGCCACCACGCCCGGCCCAATATGCTTTTTAAGCACATGGATACGTTTTTTTTTTTTAGAAGGTAGGATTTATTGAGAGGATAGAAAAGCTCCCAGAGCAGGAGGGGCCCTGAGGGGGTTGCCTGGATAATTATTTTTTTAAAGCAAGGGCTCAATCTGGAATTGTTTAGTTTTGGCATTTGCAACTTGCACACTTAGCAACCGTTATTTGGTAAAAAGCCACCAGGGAACTCCAGCCCAGCACACAGAAAACAGCATGCGGAGGCATGAGCCATGCAGGGCCTCTGGGATTACCGGAGCTGGGGCCCGAAAGGCTCCCCGAGGGCACCCACTGGAGCTGCTGACACCCCACAGGTGGGGCGACCCCAGCACCCGCTGTGCTGTTCGCGGCTGCTCCTCCCGTCCGTGCACCTGCCTGCCGAGGTTGCACTGCTTCCCTACGAAGCCCGATTTACAGACACATCTTCCCGTCAGGTCACACTGCGGTGACACAGAACCTACAGGATCGCAGTCGCAGGGTACACAGAATTGCTTCTCGGGGTCCCACCACATGGCAGGCTTGAAAAGTCAGCAGAAAAATAAAAGAAAAACAACACAAGAGCACATGATATTATTCAAGAGATAGAAGCCGATGATATTTTCAGCTGCGTATGGGAAAGGCCAGTTTGACATCTGAGAAATGCTTGCCTCTGTTTAACAGGCTTGATCACGAATAAAACGTATTTATGTGAAAGAGCCAGAGCAAATCCATGGGCTCTCATGGAGGAATCTTAAGGTGGTCGCCTTCCCAAAGGCAGGGCAATCAATATGTTCAGGGACTGAGAGCAATCCACTGTATTTCAATTGAATATTTCATTTGAGCAAAAACGACGCATCTAAAAAAATACCTTCATTAACTTCCCGACAGAAAACTTGCTGAGTGCTCACAGGAACTAGCTTTTAAAGGATGCAACTGAAAGAAGGTGCAGAGGGAGTGACATTTTATTCTGCCAAAAAACATAAAGGCAGAGTAAAGAGTATTTTACTCTCCGTAGATTAAGATTGATTTTGCATGGCATTTGTTTCATAAATATCTGAATTACAGCAAAATATTACACAAACTCACTGCCAAAGAAATGTAGATCGAAGGTCAAATACTAATGTATAGTGAATTTTACTCTCGTGTGAGAAATCATTTCAATGGCCACAGTAATTTTAACTGCAGAATTAGATCATCTTGAACCCTTTTTTCAAGATGCAAAGGTACACAAAACATGTCATTGACAGCCAGCGACAGTTTCGAAGGAGGAAGCAATTCATGGGTCGGTTCCGACGCCTCACCTTGCATTGGTCACAGCGGTGTCCCTGCACATTGGCTTTGCATTCACACTGACCAGTTCGAGGGTGGCAAATCTCAGAGAAGGAGCCATTGGCATTACAGCGACAGGCTGCAAAGAGAAGAGAGATCTGTGGCCAGAGCACTTTCTAATAGTCTTTATAGGCTTGTTAAATAGTAACACACCCCACAAGGCAACACGAGACACTTAAGTTCAGCAGTAGAATGCTTTCTGATTTGTTAGGTGCTCTGGTAAGCATTCTGTCATTGATCCCTGTAACAACTCTACAAGCTGTAGAGGTCATTCGCATAAGGCTTTAACACAGTGCTTGGCCCGTCATGTGCTATTAAAATATTAATGTCATTGTTATCATTCCAATCTTGAGAGTGGAGACAGTGAAATTCAAAGAGGTCATAACGCATCCACGGCCACACGCTTAGTAGTTCATATAGAAGAGTCCAGAACCTGACTGGAACATGGAGTTCCCAGACTCTAGGTGCCAAGCTATTTCACTTCTTAAGGACTTTGGGGGAAACATTAAAAATATTGTAATCCCATTGTAAGCAATGCATGCTGACTCCCAGGCTAAAACAATTTTGAGAAATTAAGAAAATTAATAGCACCTGTGGCTTAATATTCATGTCACTATGAATCAAGCAACATTTATTTAATTTTTTCAATGTAATGATTATTTATTATGTGCCAGCTTTTGCGTTAAGTTTAAAAAATGAGCTTGAAGTGAAATAAACATATACTATAAGATTAGAAAAGTATATAAGATAATAAAAATATTGTTTCAAGTGTTAGAGATATAGCATTATAATATTTTAACATAACTTTTATTTTGCAATTTGTACATGATCTCCAAAGATTAAAAAATTGGTTTAAGACTTTTTTACTTTGCTATGAAGTTGTCTGATGTTATTCTGAAATATATAATAAACCAATCTAAAACTTAAGTGGCTTTTCTACAAATAGAGTAGAATTAATTTCGTACTCTGTACTCCACGAGTATATTTTTCATGGTACATATAATTGCATTGATACCAGAATGAAAATGTGAGGGGGAGATGATATGGGAATTTAGGCTATTTTGATAAGTTTTGTGCAATGTTTCTGAATACTTTTCAGTAAAACTTACATTATAAACAGCTACTCTATCAGCCTGTGCTAATATTCTGTTTACCTGGCTCTAGGTTCCACTTTCTTTTACCACTTCTCTACAAACAGCTTGATTTATGTTCCAGCAAAGTTTGCTTTCAGTGTGTGCTAATTGGATACTTAGTGCGAAGGTCACTGACAAACTGATAAGAGTCTAATAGTCTATAGCTGGAGTGTAAAAAAAGAGTTAAAAAATTTTTTTAATATTAATTGCCATTTGGATATGAATGCATATACTTTTTCTTTATTAACATTTCTTATGTACGTATATTTGAAAAGTCTCAAATTATTTAGATTTTCAAAATCACTTTTTTTTAGAATGGGGACTATAAAATTAAATTTGTCATAAATATGATAACTAATGTTATCTTAAAAATAACAAAAGCAATATTAAATGTTGCCACAGTGGCATTTTAATAGAAAAGTTTGACACAAACAATATACATAAATTTAGCAAGAAAATTTTTTTTTGTAGTGGAAATTTTTTTCGTGAACAGTTCTAGAATCAACTAAAATGTTTTTTATGAACTTTCTCTTCTTGAGGGCTTATCAACTATGCAGCATAGAAGAGCTATTGTATCCACAAATATCATAAAAAATAGATAATAAATGTGTTTCTTGCACTTTTGTCATTATATACTGAAGAGCATTAAAAATCATATTCGACCAGGTGCAGTGGCGCAAACCTATAATCCTAGCACTTTAGGAGGCTGAAGTAAGAAGAGTGCTTGAGCCCAGGGGTTTGAGACCAGCCTGGGCAACTTGGTGAGACCTCGTGTTTACAATATATCAAAAAATTAGCTGGGTATGGTAGCACATGCCTGTAGTTCCAGCTACTTGGAAAGCTGACGTGGAAGGATCGCCTGAGCCCAACAGGTTGACGCTGGGGTAGCCATGAGCATACCACTGCACTCCAGTCTGGGCAATAGAATGAGACTAAGACTCAAAAAAAAAATAAAATCATAATCATGTCTACACTCATGGCAAGTAGTATTAGCAATCGGTGAAGGTTCAAAATGTTTTTTTCCGACATTTGCTATGTGTTCTTAAGAGTTTGTGCAGGAGATTCCCTAATTTCCCATAATAAATTAAGTGGAACAATAACCTCAACTTTATGGAGGGAGTTATTGGAAGACAGGGAACGAGGTGACCAAATGATCAACCTAGCTCTGGAATCAGTTAGTGGACCACCCAGAAAACTAACACAAGCACTGCCACTAAAGGAGCCATGGCTCCTTTCAAGCCCAGGAAAGCTCACCAATACCTTCTATGTCCTAGACATTTTAATCCCCACAAAAAATTCATGAGCCTTTTGTAGACGGGGAAACTGAGTCTCAGTGAGGTCAAATTTCCCTTGCCCAGGGTCACACAGATAGAAAATACACATTCTAGATGATTTATTGCAAGAAAGAATCTCGTAAGCTCCCTATGGTTTTATACATATGTCAAAAATCCACCATGTTTAAAGGCACTCTAAGCCTATCGGAAATTTTGCTTTAAAAAAATCAATCATCAATTTCGGGATGATATGAATAGGTGTCGATCAGTCCAGAGATTGATTTGTTTTGGACTCAACACGTGATGATCTGTGAATGACAAAAAACTAGCACTCATGCTCTCAACCTGATGAGAGAGACACATTTCTTGTTGAAATGGAGTGTCCTACCGGGTGTTTATGGTAGAGATGATGATAGACAACATTTCCAGTGGTTTCTATAATTCTACTTGTCCTGGGGCCCTTCTGAATAATTGGAAGTCTCTTCTGACATCATAAACTTGGTAGAAATAAACCACAGGGCTGACCTCGTAGCCTGCTCTCCCTCTAGACTGTGACAGCAGCTGAAGCTGATGAAGGTCAAGTGCTAACATGGACTCACATTCCATTTGACTTTCCACAAGATCCTCTTTGCATATTACATTACCACTACTACAAAGGATCTGTAAATTCTATGCAGTACTGAATAAGACAGCTAAGGAGGGGAAGAAGAGGGAAAGAATGAACTGTATTGATATGAATAGAGGCCTAGAATGGCTCATTTTGAGGAAGGAAAACACAGAAAGAGCATTCTATGAATAGTCCTAAAATGACTATGATGAAACCAAAATGAGGTTAAGCACTCCACAATTACAAATGCTAGCATGTGAAAATACTGGCAGAATGTTACACCTGTTATGAAACAAAGACTGCAAAGTTCACATATGAAAGCATAACCGATTAACACCTTCTGACAGGTACTAATGAAATAATATGAGCAGATAAAATTATTTCAAGCTAATGATCAGAATTGAGATAAAGAGAAAAGGATAAATAGTGTCTACCCAATTTCCAATTTCTTCTATCCTGCTGTGGACATGAGTTCATGTTAAAAATCTTCATTCCACACGTAAAGAGAAACATGTACAGCATTTGGAAAGCAATGGCACTTCAATCATGCACCAATTTTTAAAAGATTTACTGTATTCGTACAAAGAAATATTTTAGGGTATGCAGACTCTGTGTCTATGCTATGCATCTATCATCCGTGTATTACACACAATTTCCACTTTTCAATCCCCACTCAAGAACTCATCAGCTACTTTGAGGTACAATGCATCAACGTTGTCAGGAGCATCAGTAGTTCAGACTTACGCTGACAGTTCTTTGCATCAACTGCGTCTCCAAAATATCCATCAGCACAGAGCTCACAGTACCGGCCCGTTGTACCTGGCTTACATATCAGACAGGAGCCAGACAAGCTGTCACAGCTGCCAGGGATGGAGAAGTCAAGGTTGTCATTGCATTGGCATGGCTGACATGATCCTCCAGGTATTGAAGGTTGCCCAAAATAGCCTTCTGCACACCTAAGGTGAGAAATTTTATCAGTAAGCATTTGGAGGGAACTCCAAAGGGGCCATGTTTACTTATTTTTATACTATCCCTCTCCCAGGATGGTGGCTTTTCCTTTTAAATGTAAGGTGATTTTTAAAAAATAGGGTTCTTTTTTTTACGACTACAGTGTAGATACAAGATAAAATCCTGCCCACCCATTACTAATTAGATTTCAGCCAGAAAAAAAAAGGAGAAAAAAATCTTTTCTCTAGCACTGAAAATGAGACCAAAGCATAATACGAAATCTGTTGCTGGCACTCGAGAGGAATCCAGGTCGATGTTAGAAAGCCTTTGTAGTACAATACATCATGTGTCTCCACTCTGATTGGTTGTTTTCTCTACAAATAAGTAAGGTTCACATTTTGTTGTTGTTGTTATTGCATCAGGAGCTCGTTATGAGGAAGCAGGCTCGCTAGGAAATTCATTACCGAGAGCTCAGAATTTATTAAATAGAAACGGTGACTTAGAAGATTCTTATTAGTTGGGTGGGGGCTGTGGGTTTCTCTGAATTAATCATTGGTTTGCATGTATTTGCATATGCACGCAGTGCCAGATTTTCACGGAAGGGAAGTCTTAGGAGGCATACCTGCATAATACTGCATATTATGAGAACAAGCTGTCAGGTGATGCTGAATTGTGCCTCCAAATCTATTAGTCAACTCTAGGTCTTTTTTTTTTTAACAACCAAAGACTATTTTATATGTTGTTGGAAAAACAAGTTTGTTTATGCATAAGGCATAGCAGAGGAGATTTATTTTTTAAATTACCATATCAAATTTTTCTTGACCCAAACGTTGTTTTAAAGTGCAACTTAATGTTGCACATGTACAGATGTGTCCCTAGGCACACAGGCAGCACCTATATATAGTCTGCTCTGTCTTCTCTTCTAGTTTGATCTGCTCATGCTTCATATTAAGCCATACGTGTCACAGGAGGAACAAAACAGGACATCTGAAGTCTTATGGTCAGGGTAGCTGTTAGCTACAGTAGCTTATCAAAATATCGTCTTTTGCAGCAAGGTTCCAAATGGAAGGGGATCAAAAACAATGCAAGAAAATAAAATTTCCTCATGGCTTTTATGCTCATCTACTCACAGATACGGAAGTCATTGTTTACAGAATGACTTTCTACCACCTGAAATAGAAATGGTTCACATCTGGGACATTATATTAACAGCACTTTAAAAACCTCACAATGATGGAGCAAAGTCATGAATTTGGTACACACTGATTAATTTCAACTTTTTAGAGAATGTATAGCTGCCATAATGTATAGATTTGATCTTTCATCATAATTCTTAAAAATGAGATTACTTATATTTACAAAAGGTTTTACAAAATTATGAAAGTTGGGTATAAACATTGCTTGGAAGAATACTGCCAACTACAAATGTAATTGTTCATGATTCTCTGTTAGAAAATATGTAATAACATTTTAGTGTGTAAAATTTCTCCACAGTTCTTCAGGAGTGGTAGTCAATAAAGATAAGAAGAAGATTTTTTTGAATTTAACCCATTTCTTCTTGCCTTATTTAATATGCAGAGCTTATGGTCACATCCACATATATTCCCATCTCATTTTGTTTACCACTATGAAAGTGACTTTGCTCTGCTGGAATACGGATATACAATGATCATTATCACAGCCAATGGAAACCTATTATTTTCAGCTCACTTTCCTCAAAATAACTTACTGCCCTCAGGAGAAATGGCATTATATAACAAGATCTGGGAATTTTTCTTAACATAGATAACAATTAATAAGTCCAAAATTCTCCCGTAATAATAAAAAAAAAAACTCGTTTCAGGGAGAAAATAACTATAATTAAATAGAATAACAAAAGAAGCATCTGTCCTTTATTTCTTGTTACAGGACATATAAGAAAGATTTGTGAGTATCCATGATGGAAAATTCATATGCTCTTTTATTGAAAGTGGAACCCTTTTCTGCAGCACATTCAGTATGTTACTGGTGAATGTGTGTGCATTTCTATACAAAGAACAGTATTCACGGAGTTGTCTAAAAATGTTTCATTATGAATTAAAAAGCAGTTCTAGGGTCAAAGAATACAAGACTGCTAATCACATCACTTTTATTAGTAATAATAGCGTTTTATAGCCAGATCAGGTTGGATTCACCTAATTAAAATGAGTTTAAATCCCAGTCCTTTGGACTTTGCCAGCTTCTCAGACTTTCACTCTCCCAAAACTAATTGTACTGTGAAATCTCAAGCCCTCCCATTATCATATGCAAGGCAGAAGGAGAGCACTTTAAAACACAGTTTATTTAATGCCTTGCTGGAGATGGACATCTTAATGTAACGAAGGCATTGTTCCTTCCCATATTTGTTAACTTTTTTGAATCAAACTGCAATGTTGTGGAAAGGAACTCTTCAAATGTAAATAGGACTCCAGAGAGCACATGCAGTTATGTGTCTCAGTTGCTGCCATTGATAATTTAGGAACAAAATTAGAGTGAGGGAGGGAGAGAGAGAGAGAGAGAGAGAGCGAGAGAGAGAGAGAGAGAGAGAGAGAGAGAGAGAGAGAGAGAGAGACAGAGACAGAGACAGAGAGGGAGAGGAATAAAATAGCAGGAGTGGAGAGAAGCAAGGATGAGAAGAACTATACTGAAGGAACTTTTCCCTGATCTCATTTTGCCCCACAATGTTTAGCTAAGATCCGTGGCCTACATTTCCCTTGTCTATGGACTGAAAACAATGAAACAGTAAAATGCTAGTTTCAGTTTTTCTGAGCAAATGAGAAAAGTTCTTGTTTCCCCACCTCTTTAAAACAAATTTTCTGAGTACTTTTACATGATACTAATATAGATAAGTCACAGTCCCAAACTACAGATCATGGAGACGATTTCTCACACATTAAAAACGCAACAGCAGAACTGGTGATACTCAAATCCTATTGTGGAAGCACAGAGTAGGGCAGCCGACTCAGATTAGACTAACCAAGGACACTTTCAGGATGACAGTGTTGACTTTTAAGAGCTAAACAGGGGGGGTCTTAGCTCAAGCTAAGCATGGTGGCTCAAGTGCGTAATCCCAGCACTTGGGGGGGCTGAGGTGAGAGGATTGCTTGAGTCCATGGGTTCAAGACCAACCCGGGCAACTTGGTGACACCTCGTCTCTACAATAAAAAAAAAAATTTAAAAAAAAATTAGCCGGGCGTGATGGCACATGCCTGTAGTTCCAGCTACTTGGAAGGCTGAGGCGGAAGGATCATCTGAGCCCAGCAGGTCGAGGCTGCGGTGGCCGGGAGCATGCCACTGCCCTGCAGCCTGGGCAATAGAGTGACACTCTGAATTTAAAAAAAAAAAAAAAAAAATAGCTGAACAGGGGTCGGCATCCGGTGGAGGAGTCTTCCAGGCAGAGGGAACAGTATTGGCAAAGGCACAGAAGAGGGTGTCTGGTGTATAAAGGGGTGTGGCTGTGCTGTGACCATGTGTTCTAACTTCCTCCCCATTGGACATAATCAGCAAGGGCTTGAGGGAGTTTGCCGGTTTATTTGGCACCTTTCTGCAAACTGGGGAAACAGATCCTTTCTAGGCACTTCAGAACAAGTGAAGATCTAGGGGACACAGTTGGACACCCATGCACGGCATGGAAGGTATAGAGTCAAGACAAGGGCACGGTGGATTCAAGCTCCCATCTCTCCCTTCCCTGAAAGTCTTTGTGCAGTGTACAAACTGTACAACCACTCATGAGAGGCCTCTTGGAACCTCAGTTGTAGCCACAATGTTGTTAATGGTACTGCCCAGTGGTGTGGCTATCTCTCCTTTGTTTTTTCTGACTCCAAGTTCTGCATTCAGGGCTCAAGGGCTCAAGGAGACCCAGACATCAGGAGACGATCTCACGATTGGAATTGAAACCGAAGAGATGAAAAAGAACTTCTTATCTAATATAAATCATGTGGATAAAATTGTAGGCGAATTTTCAAAAAAAAGGGCCATTAGATACAAATCCCTTCTGCATTTTCAGTGGCAATGACGAACTTAGCCTTGGCTTTTGACCTCTCTCTCTTCACCTAGGAAGGAGCTGTTAAAATTTGCCAGCTGGGGGAGGCAGGGCTTAAGAAGCCTATGTATCCAATTAAGTTTCACATTGTCCTATGGTGCCCTTCAGGCAAATTTGCCACCATCTTTTTAAGTGTCTTTCTTCACGATGTATGATAAGTTGCTGAGACTACATGCTTATTCTGAAAGTCACTGAGTGAAGAGTAGAGAAGGTATCATTAGTTTTTAATTCACTTTTTGTTCTAGATTCCTTTTAATTTATCTTGATGCTCCAATGCTTACGTAATTCCCTTTGGCCCTGAAAAATGCTATCTCTGTTTTTTTATTTTTTTCTCCCCTTGCTCTGATGACACTAGACTCGAGACTTAGCAAATTGCCATGATGAATGTCTTCTCCCTTCACTCCTTATTTCCTTTCCCTTTGTTTACAACATTCCCAAGAAAAGCAGTGATACCTCAAAAATACAGGTGTTTGGGTATCAAGTGAATGCTTCCCAGACCGTACGCAGTATTCTACATGTGACAGAATACCAGTCCATGTTTTGTTCTATCTTGTTTTGCCATCTTCTTGTTCACTATTTTTCTTCACTCCCTCAGTTCAAGAAGCAAGACCATCTCGTGCTACATGCCTGGGCAAAGGGATTGTACAGGGCAGAAGGCAGAAACGTAGGAATCTTCTGGACTTTGAGCTCTAGCGTTCATCATTTCTAAGAATGCAGCGCCTCCTCCCCCAAACAGAAAATGTGATGGGGTTGGAAATGTAGATGGAGAAAGGATGATGGCATAGATTTTGGTGGCACCAGTGTGGAATAAAAGAAGTTGAACGATTCTTGTGTCCCCAAGAGTGGGATGAAAAGAGTAGAGAGATTTGCTAGCCCTGAGGGGAAAGGTTACCAGTAGGACAGGAAAAGGAATAGGCCTGCAGAAACAGGCTTGGATGGAATAGTCAGGACTGCTGGCCCTCATGTGGCCCCTATTCCAACACACGTGCATCCATACCCACCCCCACACTCGGGCATCCAAGCCCCTGGGTACTAGATAAGCTTGTCAGAACTTTGATTCCAACTTGGAGGCGGGAGAGGAGGAGAAAAAACTTTAATTGTCTGAGATTATTTTTCCAAGCTGTCTCACGTCCCACCCATGAGGGGGTCTCAAAATAGAAATTATATGGTGACAAAGAATATAAAGTTATAATTCTTGCCCACCTGAGCTGTGGTCTGAGATATATTCTTGTTATATAATAGAAGATGGATGGCCATATAAGTTTAGGAAACGCTGAGCTAAACACATCAAACAGATTTCTTCACTATAGAACATACTGTAGGACATGCCAGAACTTTTGACATGCCTGTATGACCACAGAATTCTTTCCAGGCACATCCACAGTTTGGAAAATGCCGCCTGAGATTTTAAATGCTGGTTTTATGTAGACGATGTGCATAAACTGATCAAACAAATCAGTTACAGAATAGTTTTGATTACAAGGCTTTCAGCACAAACCAGTATCTCCTCCTTACTGCAACTTTTCTTCCCTCCCTTCCACTTCAACATGCATATCTCAAAAAATGTTCCTTTTAATATTTGTGATCCATCTAATGGATTTTGTTTTTTTGGCTTATATAGATACAGTGAAATGATAAATTCTAAATATTCCTGGGAGACCCTAATCCAAATTCTGGTTAGAAAAATATAAAACCTTTTGTGTATATCATTGTAATTTAAGACTATTTCTGACTGAAAAACCTGAGGTGGAGATAAGATATGCCATTTGCCGCGCTGCATATGCGTGCGATCATCTTCTTTTGAGTCAGATTAATACAGATTTTAGACAGAAAATCATGCTTTCTGTCAGGTTTTTCATTCCTTGGTGATTTTTCTTATTCAAAAAGAATTCTCTCAAGAATACTTGCAACCATGCTCACTTGCACTAAAAAATAAAATAAAATAAAATAAAATAAGGTGTGAGCCGCTGAGGGCAAGGATGGTATAATGCATCTGTTTACATCCAATGTCTAACCTCCTACCTAGCATGTGGTGCTTACCAAACAGATGTTTATTAAATAAAATGTAGCATTTTAAATTGTGGATGATTCTGAAATTTGTCTAACACTTTTAGAAAGTGGAGTGCATAAAAGAGCAATATAAATATATCAGAGATTATGCTCACCCAGATAAGCAAATTTAATGACCATGTTTGACAGAGACGCCGTCATTTTGCAGTTGCTAAAAAAAAGTTGCCTGTAGTGAGCTTGGAGGTTAGGCATTTGATGTAAATCTGTCTTGGCGATGATAGGTTCTCCTATTATAATAAGTAATATGCACACGCCTTTCTTTAAAACACACACACACACAATTAAAGACCTCCAGTTTCTCAGCGGCGAATAAATCCTCCTCGTTTCAAATTTCTCTTCCATTCCTAATTTATGGATGCTGCCATACTCACAAGTAGTACTTGTTGCTGTTAGAAAGTCATTGGCAATGAGACTTTTCCCATAGACTGCGGGTTGCTAGCTAAATCCTCACTGGGTGATCAACTCCCACTTCATTAACTTTATGCTTCTGGTTGAAACAGGGGTGATGGCTGCCAAGGAGACAGGAAAGGATAGGCAGAAATAGCCCTCTTTGGGGTTTGCCTTGGTGTCGATAAGTGAAGTAAGTCACTTTTTCTGCCTGCACTCCCACTGACAGTAGCAAAGGGGACTACTTTAAGTGCTGGAATCAGAGGGAGGTTGCTGGGTTTGGCAATGATATTAAGGGGGGAGTCTGTACCATTTTTACGCTGAGACTGAATATACAGAAGAAACATTTTTTCAAAAACATTTCAGAAGGAACTATAATCCTACAAATTATGTAAGGTAATGTTCATGGTTTGCTGCAAAGCAACCTAGTAAATTCAACAGGAATTAAAATGGTAGTAATGAGAAGAAGACATAAATCAAGATAATAAATAATATTTTGTTTCCATTTTTGAATTACATTGAAAGTAAATTACGGACCACTCGCTGAACTATGAACTATGCATTTAAGTCACATTTTAAGGACAAAAGCTGATTATGAAAAACAAATGGCGCCTATGTAGACAGTGAGATGAATCTTAAAGTGCACGGCAATATTTTCTAGAAAGATTGTGGGTTAATGCTTAACCTTTAAGATTAAAACATTAATCAAGCCGGGCTCGGTGGCTCAGCCTGTAATCCCACGCCTTTGGGAGGCTGAGATGAGTGGATGGCCTGAGCCCGCGGGTTCGAGACCCGCCTGGGCGGCGAGACCTCATCTCTATAATAAATCAAAAAATCAGCCGGGCGTGGTAGCGCATGCCTGTAATTCCGGCAACTTGGAAGGCTGAGGTGGAAGGATCGCCGGAGCCCAGCAGGTCGAGGCTGCGGTGGCCGGGAGTGGCCACCGCACTCCAGTCTGGGTGACAGAGTGAGATTCCAACTCAAAAAAACAAACAAACAAACAAACAAAAAAAATTAATCAGATATTCTCTGAGTGAATGAAAAGTTATAGCGCAATCTCTGGAAAATAAGTAAACGACAAAAATATCATGCATTTGTTTGACAAGGGTGGTGAGAAACTTTATTTCACCTCATTGAGTATGGCAGTTTTTCTGGGGTAGTGCAGGGGATGCTAATGCGTGTGGTTTTATAACTCCCAAGGTAGAAATCATTTTGCAAGACAGTGCGGTACGTGCTCACCTCTCACAGCGTGGTTGTGTGTACCCGACAGGGCATTCATCACAGATCAGTCCAAGACTCCGGTCTAAGTGGCACGTCGGGCTGAAGCTATGTCGGTGTTGGGAACAACAGGGACAAGGAAGAAGCACATACACAGAGTCATTAGCAGCATATTCTCATTTCTCTCCCTCTACTCCAGCTCTGACGAGAGGGTACAGGCTGGTCATTCTCGTCTCGCAGACGGAGATGAGGGTCTGGCCAACGGAGGATGAAATGACATTGCTGTTTCTGCAGACGTAAATATCGCCCAGTGGAGAGCAGTAGCCCTGTGACATGTTATTAACTGACTTCTGATTGTTCTGGGTCATGATCATCAGTAATGAGTGGGAAAGTACAGCTGCTTTTTCAGGGATTCCCCAGGCCTGGGAAACACAGCCTCATACACTTTCTCTCTAGCCAAATCTCTCTGACTTTGAAGCCGCCCAGAGAAATCTGGTGGAGATTTTGCGAAACACTCTGTCTTGAAGTTCAGGCTGCATGGCTGTGTGAGTCCTACTTCCAGTGTCACCAGCTGGAGGCACCTGTATGCAGGGCTGCAGCAGTGCTCCCTTGCAGGCAGGAGAGTCACACTGAGGGAATCCTCAGCAAAAAGAAAAGTGGCAGGTCGTGGTGGCTCTCGCCATATTCCCAGCACTTTAGGAGGCTGAAGTGAGAGGACTGCCTGAGCTCGTGGGTTCGAGACCAACCCAGGCAACTTGGCGAGACCTCATCTCTACAACAAATCAAAAAATTAGCCAGGCGTTGTGGCGCACACCTGTAGTTCCAGCTACTTGGAAGGCTTAAGTGTGGAAGGATCGCCTGAACCCAGCAGGTCGAGGCTCTGGTGGCCACGAGCATGCCACTGCACTCCAGCCTGGGTGACAGAGTGAAACTCCAACTCAAAAAAAAAGAAGGAAAGAAAGAAAGCGATAAGGTGTGCATGCTCCCCCTAAACTTGTAATAGCCCAGACCTAACCAAAACAACCTTGATGTTTCACATCTTCTGGCAAGTTCCAAAGCTTACCTCTTTCTTTGCACATATCTCTAGTTTGGGTCTGAAGGAACAGAGTTGAGCACCCAGTCAAGACCCAGCAGAGAACTCATGTGCTACCTTTAGCCTTCTTGGCCTTGGGAGAAACACCAGCCATACGTGAACCCTTAGCCCAAGACTGATGCATTGTAATGTGCTTATCTGCTGGCTCTCTGAAGGACCATCAGTGATTTTGAATTCTGTGAGTTCTGCTGCTCTACCATTTTAAAGGGAAATGCCCTCAATTACTCTTTCTCCTATTATGTTTTCCCTAAGTAGATTTATTTTCTATTATATATGACAGGACAATTCAGAGGAGGCTTGCTTGATGGCTAAATGAATTAAAGAAAGAACAGCAAATTAAACACTGCAAGGCCTGATCTCATTCTGTCCCTGACACTTGTGTGACTTTGAAATACTTTCTCAACTCTGGTGCAGATCTGATCATGGGTAATAAAATTACCCACAGGTAGTAATATTTCTCTGGCTTAACTCAGAGAAGTTCTGAATAGGTTTAAAAATTCTTATTTTTTTTCATAGTAGCAAGCTTTTAGAACCTAGTTAATTCATAATTTTAAACATTTTGATAAGTGGAAAGTCTACATGAGTCTGTTGTCATGGGGAAAAAGCCTGGTCTTGGACATGTTGAATTTATGAATATTATCCAAATAAAAGATCCCACATGAAGGGACTCTGGCAGCTGTCATGACTGTAGATGAGACACACCCAGCCTGTGCGCCGTGAGAAGAGAACCTCCTTTTAGATGGTAACCCGTGTCTTTCTTCCTAGGACTCAAAGGGACCGTCCCATGGGTGATTTTCTTGGCAGGCGTGTGATTACACTGAAGAAAAGAGGTTCATGTTAAAATGAAAAAAAGGAAAAAAACCCAGGATTTTCTCTCATTCTCATCCAGTGATTTGCTATTGTTTCCAGACACAAAAGAGGGGACTGGATTTTGACAAATCTCTAAAGTGTAAGTATCTTCTTCGAAAATTGGTATTCTGTAACTCTCTTATCAGCTACTGACAAAGTGACTCTACCTAAAAGCACTGGATTTCCCATCCATGTAGGGCTACAGTGATTGAAAGGAAACCACACCAATTATTTTTTTAAATCGGAAGTCAGTTTACCATAAGTCATGTCAAAGTTAGTTGACAAGGCTTCTGACACTTTAAAACTGTTTGTGAAATAAGATTTCAAATTCTCAAATACACCTCAGTGTAAACCAACGGAAGTAACGTAAAATGTGCTCACCGACAAAAATCAACACTTTTTCAGGGAAAAAAAAGCATTAACAAAATGTTAGATTTGACTAGATCTTTACAGTTCAGAGTACTTTTTCAAACAATTTTATCACATTTTCGTATCATCATATGAGCTGGTTGTGGCAGGCACAATTATTCTTGACAAAGGTCATGCACTAATTTTTAGGAGAATTTAGCATGGGATCCAGACTTCAGATTCTCAATTTGATGCTTCCCTTCTTCCTATAATCAACAGTAATTCAAACCTACTGGTAAGAATTAAGTGAGTTTAAGTTTCTAGTAATATAAATACTTGAAATAATACATCCAAATAAAACTTTTTCATAAAATATATCTGTATTTGTGCTTTGATGTTTTTTCAACAACATGAACTGGGGACTCACTCCCTTCTTGCTATAATTGTAGTTATAGTTATGTCAGAAGATGGCATTCAACAACAAAAATAAAATTAGAATAGGAAATAAACATATACTACAAAAAACATCTACAGAATTTGGGTTGGCAAAAGTAGCAATTTGACATTGATTTTGGCCAAGACTGGAAGCTAATTGTTCTGTGATACAAATAGGAAAACTATAAGATCATCACTGACTTCAAGTGATTCCAAGATTATGTCATTTACCTCTAGTTGGCCAGCTCCACACCAGCAGAGAGAAAGTTTTGTGTCCAGGGTTATCCAACCCATGCCACTGAAAACACAGGAAAGCCAAGGACTGCAGGCATTTTCCACAAATAGGGGTGGAAGGGAAGCTACTGTTGGACTGAATATCAAGGATCTGAACCTGGAAATAGTCCCTCTTTGCTTTTTAGATTAGAAAATACAGTTTTTTAAATAATAAATTAGAGAGCAAGAAAGAGAAGGTTCACCTCCTCAGGGTGGGAGAGGGGGCCAGACACAGTAAGCATGGCGACAGTCATAGCTCAAAGAGCACATGGCCACACCAGAGTCTAGCAAGGCAATGGCTGAAACAGTCCCTCTTCATGACTGAGCACATATTTGTATTTTTATAAGTATCTATTTATGAGTAAGCACATATGTTGTGTATATATACTATAGGAATATGTATGGGAATATATGTGCATGTGTTTATGTATGTGAATGCAAACCTACAAATACAATTAACCTTGCTCTAAAAACAATTTATATACCTATTAAAATATGTACATAAATCATTATGCAATAAAGTTAAAGAGGAAAAAACATGAAAGAATAAGATGAAGTCAAGGGTGTATTTAGAGTTCAAAATGCATTATTACAGGGTATGTATAATTGATGGTGGTGGATCGACATAGGGCTTTGAGCTTTTTTCACAGCACATGCAAAAGGGGACAATCAACAGGTAAATGACTCAGTGCTTCCAGAAGCTAAAAGCAACCGATTGTTCAATGAAAGCTCAGCAATTCCTGATAATCAGACATTGAGGAAATCTCCTATGGGCCCTAAAATCAAATTCTAACATTAAATGCACCCACAGAAAGTTAATCCGATATCCTAAAATAAAATTAAACAGATATTAAGTATACATGTGAAAGTATTTTCTATTTCTTTAACTCTCATGCATTTGGAATACAATATACTGAATTGCTCTTGGGATTGTGATGTGATATAAAGCCACCACCCCTTTCATCACCTGCATAACGTTTCTACCATGAGGTTAGACAATTAGCACATGACCAGTATAGGAAGTCCCTACATATGAACCTTCAAGATGTGAACTTTCAACGGTGCGAATATGTGTTTGCACGTCCGATCATGTAAGTTAGTTCACGTGTCTGGCATACATCGTCATGTGTGTACATGCAAGCGGTTGTGCTTTTGTGTACTTTACAGTACAATAGAGTGTATTTTTGTGTTTTTAATGTATTATTACTGTGAAAAGTAATATAAACCTATTACAGTGTAGTACAATATAGCCATTTGTGTTAGTTGAGTACCTAGGCTAACTTTGTTGGACTTACAAACAAACTGGACTTCTGAACCCACTCTTGGAACAGAACTTGCTCATATGTAGGGGACTTACTGCATTTGCATATTCAACAGGGAATCAGGACACTTTCTCAACTAATTGTTGCCTTGAACACGAGGGTAGGGAAAGATAAACCAAAAAGGGATGAGTTGCTGCAAAGTGTGAGTGAGGAAGCTAGGAGTGAGGTAAAGACCATGTCCAGGTATTGCTGAAAAGGGCAGAGAGCTGAGAGGAAGAAGAGGAGGAAGAAAAAACTCATTTGCTTCATGATTTTGGCTTGGGCCACATGAATTTTTGAAGTTTCTCCCTAAGATTTTTCTTCTTCAGTTTACTGATCTCTGCTACTCTCAGGAGAATCTTAAGCAAATACTTATTTCTTTAATTACCTTTAAGTACCATGACATCTGATTAAATCTAGACAATTGGATTTTATAATTAGACTTGATTTATTTTCTCAGTGTGTCTTTGGATGCTATGTTTCTCTAGATCTGTTTCCATTCCACAAAATGGAATAATAGGATATCTGGCAAACCCTTTATCAGTATGAAAACACAGTACCATCAGAAATTAGAGCTACAATTTAGTAATATTTTAGAAAACTTTGGCAAATTTTTTAAAGAGATTTTTAAACAAATTGTGATATATTGATGTGTTCAAGCTATTTAGTTAATGGTTAAATAGTTAAATCTGCACATTCCCATCTTGCTCTAGTCCCTTACATTGGCATCACTGTTAATATAACTTGCCAAACAGTGAACAAACCCTGGTTTTCACAATGAACGCTCATTTTGTCTGACATTAAATTCT